TGGAGTTCGCCCCATCTCCAAGCCCCCAGTCTCCCCGGCCCCCAATCTCATGATCTGTGCCCATACCCAGTCTCCCTCTCCCACGTTACACGCGCTCTCCCTGATACCCTGGGGACCCTAAAGGATACTTCCATTCCACGATGTTGATGCAGGCCTTCCTCAGGGGGTTCTGGAGGGTCAAGCAGAACAAGGCCCGGGGTGGCCTTGGCAGAATCTCAGGAACGGGCTTCTTGGGCTGTTTCTTCCTCAGGCCCTCATCCTGGGGTGAGGATGGCTCCATGGCTCCCCTGGCAGTCTCGCCGTCTCCAGTTCCCCCACCCCGCTGCCCGCTCCTCCCTATGTCCCCAGCGCCCCAGCCTTGGGGACTGGACCGGCTGAGCCTGCTGGGCCAAGCGTGCCCTGCTGAGCCAGCCGTGGGCGTGGGCAGGAGGATTACTCCCCCTGCTCCCAGCAAGTAAAATTAGCCTCCGCTCGGCTCCCCGCTGCCTGGCCTGAGCTCCTGAGGCCAGGCAGCTGTCATTCCTTCCCAGCCCAGCCAGTGACATCCCAATACGTCCCTGAGGAGGTTGGTAGGGGGGTGGCGGAAGGAACTTTCACACGGGCCTGGGATGGGGGCGGCGGGCGACAGGATGGAGGGCTTCGAGGCTGGGGCAATCGAGGGTTCAAGAAGGGGATGGCCTATGATGGGGAGCCCCGAACTTCAGACTGGCTCCCTGCAGCCAAGATTAGTACCCCACTCCCCACCTCGCTCCCTAGCCCCTTGACACCGTCCAGAAAAGGTGCTGGGTGGCCTAGTTCGGCACGACTACACCGCACCCCCCTCCCATCTCGGTCCCTGCAGCTAGAGGTCAGTCCCCCCCACCCCATGCACACCCCATGTCAGGGAAAGCTAACGCCTCCACACTGGCGTGGAAGGCTCCCCGGAAGAACCTTGAACATGAACGCTTCAGGCACAGCCCCTGCGGCACTGTGCAGAGACTGTGCACCTCGTCCGCTTCTCCCCCAAGCCCTCAGCGCCTAACTGCACAAGGGTTGTGTCTCATGCCTGGGACTCGGGCCCCGCCCAGATACCGTCCCTGGTATATACAAAGCTCTGTCAATGTTAGTTGAATGCAGGAGCTAACAGAACACCCCACACCGCCCACAGGAAGTGCTCTGAGCTGCCAATGGGAATGCGAGAGGGGCACCAAAGCACGTGGGGGTAGACAATGAGCTGGAATCACAAAACCCAACAAATCTTTTATTTAGCCTCTTGGTACAAACACTGTGCCATATGGTCCCCCTGCCCACAGAGGGATACAGGCTGAAGGGAAAAAACACAGTCCTCACACAACCTCGGGGGGTGGGAAGTATGAAAAGGCTACACCAGGAGGTTAGGGCTGGGGGTGGATCCTAGCCCTCCATCAGGGAAGCCAGAGGGCGCCACCAAGGCCCCCTCTGGGCTTCTTCCCAAGTCTGATCTCGATC